AAAAAAAAAAAAAAAAAACAAAAACGAAAGGAACAGAAAAGGAATGAAAATAAAATCCTGATTGTGTCGAGAGAGGATCATGCATGTGATGGGCTACCTCTTCAACATAGAAGTTGAAACACATAACATCAGATTCTTTTTTCTTTTTCTTCATCAGATTCGATACAGCCTAGCTTACAGCTTCTTCAGTGCTACGAAGGGTCTTCAATATCGAAATGAATTAATGAAACTACACCGTCTATACTCAAGAAACAAGACACACACAAAAAAACATGTGATATTTAAATCATATCTCATATCGAATAAATCGGAAAAGAGAAAGCGCACCAGTTCAGCGAGCGAATCATCAATTCAATCAAATTGAATTCTATCTGGTTAATGCCCAACAAAACAAAAAAATCAGTATGAAATTATGAATATACAATGGACTCAAGATGCTCCTAACTTTCTAATTTTTCTAAGGGGTCAGACTCTACATCAACATAACACCATCATCCCCCCCTACTCACCCCCCCTAAGCTCCCTCTCTCTCTGGTGAGTGGGTGGGTGGCAGGGGAAGTGGAAAGGCAGAAGGAGATCATTAGAGGGAGGGGAGTACCTCCTAACATAATGGAATAGGGAATCATAGCCCCTAGCATTATAGAACTGAATAGCATTTGAAATTTTGAAGGTCTTGAGGCTTGAACTCTTAACCTCTTGATCAGAAGATGTGGATAGGGGAAGCGGAAGGGCGGGAGGAGATTGTTAGGGGGAGGGGAGTACCTCCTAACATAATGGAATTGGGAATAATAGCCCCTAGGGCCCTAGCATTACAGAACTGGATAGCATTCGAAGGCCTTGAACTCTTAAACCACCAGTACTTGGCCCAGCTATCGGCCGTGGAAAAAATAGAGTAGAACGTTTCTAGTCGGATGAATTTGGGCGCTCCTGTAGTGGCCCGTACATTTCCTAAAATCGTGGTTTGTTAACGGGAACGAGTTTAGGAAGTATTGGTGGTTTAACCTCTTGATCAGAAGTTGTGGATGTTTGTACTATTCATCTACCAGGCAGGCAACAAAAAAGTCAGACATCAACAATTGGCTGCCTGGATTTTTTTGAAGACATCAACGGTCTGAATTGAGTTGCCGTCTGGCATACACAGTACAGTCATAAGACCCATAACTCATTCTCCCATAAAGGGCCTCTGTTCTTAACTCTCCTCATGGCCTTTCGAACTTTGAAGAGCCCCCGGAAAGGTAGCCCCTCGCTTAGCCCTCCTCAGACTTTTTGCAAGTTTTTGGACTTTGAAGAGCCCAAAAGAAGGTAAGGTCATCACCTCCAAGCAGATGGAATTTGAAGCCCAGAGGCTTCTCCTCCTCCTCCTCCTCCTCCTCCTCCCTCACACCTTGCTTTGGAAATTGTATAATAGCTTAATGCCTTATTTTCCTCCTCCAGCGATGCAATTCTACACTCCATTTTCCATTTCACCATTTCGCACTGCCTCAGCTTCTCCTGCACAGGCAGAATTCAAGGCAGAATTCAAGGCAGAATAATACCGCAATGCCTTATTTAAAGTTATTTTCCTCCTCTGGCGGAATTAATGCGTAATGGGGATGGGATGCATATACCAAACCAAAGTAGAATTCAAAACAACACATTATTGTTTTTATGCAGTTTGATATGAAAACATGAAGTTCAGAAGATTGAAGAGAGCTTGAAGCCTTACAGCTTAAACCCATCCGCAGCACATTCCTGTCCTCCAACTCCAGCCCAGAACTACAACCGGCGACCGTGGGATCCCGAGCAGCGCCTCATATTTGAATTTTGCAAAATATGATCAATGTGTGTTTTTGAAGAAAAAAAAAGAAAAAGAAGAAAAGAAAAAGAAGAGCTTAAACCACCAGTACCCCAGAGCCTCTTTTTCCAGACACGGATTTCTGCTGCGTTCCAAATGAAGTTTAATGAACCGATGCGGGCGTGCTTTCAATCACTCTGGTTCGTGTTGTTTCACATTATGTCCTCCTCGAGAGTAAAGCCTCACATGATGTGCTATTATTTTAGCTTTCCCGGGAAGCTCGGCCGAGCACACCTGGCCGGGCATCCCTGGCACACCGCCCGGGGTACCCCGGGCATGCAAAAAAAACACAGTTTTTTTTTTTTTTTGTTTACTGTCGGACCTTGCTGCGCTTTGGGAGTAGTGGCCAAATCCAGCCTCTTTTTTTTATTTTCATGCATGTCGATTTCTGTGTGTTGGGGGGGGGGGGGAGAGGCGGTGCAGGAGGAGGCTGGATTATGGACTGCCCGTTTGCAGGGTGCTGCTGTGTCCCACCGGTGCTGGAACGCCAGGTCAGAAGGAGGAGGGAGGACAAAGGAATGCCAAGTCAGAGGGAGGAGGGAGAAGCAACACATCAGAGGAGGGAGAGAGGACGGAGAAGCGCCACGTCAGAGGAGGGGGGAAGGAGGGAGAAGGGAGGAGGGAGGGGGCGAGGTGATGGAGGGGGAGGGAGGAGAGAGGAGCGCCGCATCAGAGGAGGGAGGAGGGAGGAGGAGGAGGAGAAGAAGAAGAAGAAGAAGAAGAAGAAGAAGAAGAAGAAACAGAAGAAATGCAGAAAGGGAAAAAGAAAAAAAAGAAAGAAGAAGAAGAAGAAGAAGAAGAAGAAGAAGAAACAAAGGAGAAGCCCAGGATTCAAATTCGAATCCTGGATCAGCGTGGGCAGCTTGATCGTTGCAGATCCATGGGCAGAATCCAAAAAAAAGAAAAAAACATGCAAAATGGGGCCTACCAGATCCCCCAAAGAAATGCTCCGACTGCCAACAAAAAGTTGGCATGTTCAGAATAGGGCGGTGGCGCAATTTTTTTTTTTTGAGGCTTTTCTGCCTCAGTGCGAGAGGTGCCCGGGTGCCTGCTCGGGGGGCTGCCCGGCCGGGCACCCTGGACGCCATTCCAGGCACGTGGGGTACCCCGCGCGCCCAGTGTTGGAGGGCGCGGTGTCCCGGCCTTCCATGGTGTACTAGTCACACCTTACGTGCGGGCAGTTTTCAACCGGCTGCTGTACCAGGGACATCCCTGGCGCGTTCCTGGACTGGTCCTGGTTGGCACCTCCATTGGCAAAAGACGGGGGGTGCGCCACTGGACTTTCCATTGGTCCATGCAGGCTCGGCGCCCTGCTGTACAACAAAGCACAACCGGCCTGTGCTTGTGGTAGCCGTCGGGGTCGCCCAGGGATGCGAAGATAGTCGCCTCGACGCGATCTTTTCAACTGCGCGCCGAGCCCCAAAAATCAGAGTTAGGGGTTGTGTGCACAGAGTTGCGGTCGCAACCAAGTAAGAAACTAAAGGAAGAAAAGGAAAAGATGAAATAGAAGACGAGGGAAAGTCGCGCATTAAGCTTATGCCCCGATCTGAACCGTCGTTTTAGTTTTGAATGATCTAAGGGTTTCAGGTTGTAGCGGCGTTACAATTTTGGTGAGCTAACTTTTCTGTAATTTAATTTTGTATTTGCAAACTTAGTTCCCCCCTCTGTCGCTTCGTGGGGAAACGAACGGTTCATTTTTGAACCGTGATTACAAGCGGGCGGCCTAGACTGGCCCGACCCTTCATGTTTTATCACCGCAGGCACGATCTGCTGAGCGCCAGGTTGTAAGGCTCCGAAATGGAGGCACCCGCGGCCGCTTTGGTAGGAAGCATATCACCCCCACGAAAGGTCATGAGCCCCTCCTTGCCATCGGATACGGGACCCCGTCAGGGGTAGTCCGATGGTCGCCTTTGAAGGGAGGAAGACGTCAATCGGTATCCATATGGGACCACAACGCGCCAAGCTTACAGTCTTTTCAAGCTAAGCTGAAAAGACTGCAGGTACTTATCGAGAAGTGGCGTGTCTATTCCAGCGATCGTTGGTTCCACTTCTAATTTGATGTTTTTTGGTAAAGAAAAGTACTGTGATCCTTAATATGGCTGGGATTTCAGAAATCCTTTTGAGTCCCTCGCTTAGGACACGGGGACCGCGACTCTTTTGAATTCTATAAAGGGGTGGCTGCTGCACCATCTCTGCTATTGGTTAATGGGTGTGCGTACAGACTCGCACTATCACTGCACTGTTTCATGCGGAGGGATCAAGGCGTTCACGTCTCAACTATCTGAATTTAGTTGTTCAGGGCTTAGCACGTGCCATACTATTTGAGAGAGCAGGTAGTAGCTGGTGGCTTTAGACCCTAGTCATTGCAAAAGAGTAGTTACGGCGTATCGAAAGGGATTGGAGGGCTATAAGCCAGATTGCTGGAGACTTTTAGTATGCTGAGCCTTAGTGTCGGGGGAAGGTCCTTGGATCACAACTATTCTAAATTTCAACGGCAATGAGGACCCAAAGTTGCAGGTGGCAATTACAGAGGCCAGAAACAGGGCAGAGAGAAGACTTCGGCAGGACCACGTTACCGTCCGTCTCACTATTGCATACCGTGAGACGGAGACCTCAACGGGGACTACGAAGAGAGAGCAACAGGATTTGGGCGTGACTCCGAGGCGGAGTCTGAAGCCAATGACGCGCCCATGCAGTCCTGGCACGGATTGGAGCCGTGGAGAAGGGATCATCCACCCACCGAACCAGTGGAGGATGGCCCTGAGGTTAGTTCGCGTCGACGGAGGCGCTGAGTCCAGGAGGCGGTTACAGAGCTGCAAGGCGAGGATTTGACGTACGTGTGGGGTACTCGCGAGGACGCAGGAAAGAAGGAGGGCAGACTTCTGTGGGAGCACTACGCGTGAAAACGATTCAATTGACGTCATCTCCTTCACACAGAGTCGCTGCGCAGAGCGAGAGCATAGGGGATGTGCGGTATACGAGCGGCAATAAGAGAAAGAGAGTGCTCAGACGAGTGGGAGTGCTGCTCGGGGATGACTTAGTTGATGTCACCCCTCTACTTTTGGTGGTGAGTAGGGGAACTGAGTCCGCGAGGCAGTTACTGCCAGGAACGAGAGAGAGAGAGAGTAATGTGATCGCCAGTAGACGAATGTGCTACTGTACGGGGCTTGTGGTGCATACAGACTTTCTGAGAGTCAGATTTCACGAGAAAAGTTTTCTCCACGAAACAAGATTGTTTGATAAGATGGAAGTAAGATGCTAGTGACATGAGAAAGCGACAAGGTGAACCAGTCTTGGTACGGACTGGAACAGTGACCACGTGGATCACCTGCTAGCAGCACCAGTGGACGACGATCTTGATGCTAGTTCGGGGTGACAGAACTGCCCCTGCGGTGAAAGGCTGGTACTACAAGGCGATTACTAGCTCTGGCAAGCATCACTAAGGTGCGGGCCTCTGTTAAGATTCTACGAGCAAACTCGGCTGACGTCATCAGTTTCAGGGCGAAGAGTGTTTTCTTCACCATCGCTGAACTTTCGTCAACACCTCTGTCCTCCCCTAAGTCGATCACTGGAGCTCAGCTACTGTGTCGAGAAGTATCCACGTGCTGGTTTCGGGTAGTGATAGAGTTGCATGAGATGTTTGAGAGAGAGAACTCGTGAATCAAGGTACTACGAATTTTAAGAACACAAGAAGTCAGTAGTCTACAGTCTAGACTCGCGCGAGCAACACGTGTGTGCAGATCACAGTCTACTTCATCAGTAAAATAAACCACGTGCTCAACAAGCGGTAATCACTTCATATCTCTTATCTTCATCTCCTACGTAACGAGTCTGTTCGTGTACGGATCTGGCTTTCCTCTGCGGGGAATGTTAGTCGGAGGAAGAGAAAGGAAGTCGGAGTTTAGTGTATGTGCAAAAGGGAGAGCATAGCTAGCTATTCATCCTTCTGACGTAATCTTGGAGAGAACAAGATTTAGGTGTGGGTATGACGGAAGAAAGTGCTTGGTACTGTGTATCCGCTGCGAGAAAACATATTCTGATTGGACGAACGCTGACCGAACTGGGCTCGAGCAAGAGGTTGTTCTATTAGTCAAATTCTCTATGCAGGAAGGCGAGTACCTGTGCCTTTTGCTCACTGTCATAAAATAATCTTTCGTCTAGATGCTATCTCATCGCTGCCATCGTATCCAATTACGATGTCTGGGAGCGAGTGACGGGTAGGACTTGGTTGGTAGTAAGCAATTTATCAAACTGGGACTGATCAGTCTGCGCTATTAGAAACGAGACAACTATTGAGGTTGGTTTTCGTGACTTCCAATTATCATCTCTTCTCTAATACCTTGAAGGAAAAGGCGGGTCTCGCATGACGGGCCCACGCGAGACACCGCTCCCGGTGCCCGGGTCCCACACGCGAGACCCGGTTCGTTCTTGAAGGCGTGCCCACGCCTCGATTCCTTAGTTTGACGCACACCGGTCCCTGTGGGAGGGGTGGGCGCGGGCACTGCGGCGGTTGTGCGTTTACCCGACTGGAGCTGCGCTGCCCTTTGGAGGAGTCAGTCGCCGGGAGGTCAGGGGGTGTACGGGGACGGGGGGTGCACGGGGACGCAGGGCAAGGGCGGGTTCATGCGGGTTGGGTTTTTAGGCGAGCTGCGCTGCGTGTCGGGGGGTGTACGGCGACGCAGCGTGTGGTGGGTCGTCGGCAGCGGGAGCGTTGTGCTCCGCGGCAGGTAGTGAACATGCGTGGAAGTAGCATGACGCGTTTCATGTTCTAGCCGAAGATTCATTGGATGTTGCTCATCCTATCGATGGAAGTAGCATGGCGCGAGCCGCGAGGTCGGAGAGTTA